ATAAATGTGCAGGACTTTAACCTTCACTCAAGGACCCATTTCTCATCTTCTATACTTAAAAGTGCACTGTGTAACTTTTCTGGTGGAGTGTTTGTGTTTGTCATTACCATGGAGAATTACTATTATTGCTCGGCCTGGAGAGTTCTACAATACGGCAATAAAAACATCTGTATAATGGTCAGTGTTGGAGTCAGTTTTAAGATACTGGAGCAAAAAGATACTCAAGTAAAAGTAAAATTATCACATGAAAAAATATACTCAAGTAAAAGTATTACAGTATGCATTTAAAGATGTACTTAAAGACTAAAAATTAAAAGTATTTTGTGTGCTTGTTGAGGTCTAATAAAAATACTTTTACTTTTCAGTTTAGTTAAAAATGTAGTGGAGTAGCAAGTACAGCTACTTGCCCTCTAATGTAGTGAAGTCAAAAGTATTCACTTTCAAATGTACTTAAGTAAAATACAAATACAGTACTTTTTACTTAAGTACAGTACTTTACTACTTTTACTTCATTACGTTCCATCACTGATAATAGAATACAGTCATCCCTCGCTATATCACGGTTCACCTTTCGTGGTCTTGCTGTTTCGCAGATTTTTTTTTTTGTGCAATTTCACATGCCTTTTTTTTTTTTTTTTTTTAACAGTGTATGAATGTGTATTGTGTTCCTTCCCGTGTCCTGATTGGCTGTAGACCACTGTCAATCAATCTCCTCCGTGCCGTGTCTCCTGTACAGAATAAAATGCGCTCAGCAAATGTTCGATCTCTAGCAGTGTGATTCTGAAGTGCTGTATGTTTACAAGTTTTCTCCCCGACAAAACCCACAAATGTCGGACAAAACGTTCTGCACCGACGTTCTGCACCCAAAAGGCCGAGGAAGATGCTAACCATCACACAAAAAGTTGGACTTCTGGACACCTCCGAGCCCATCCTGACAGTGAGTCCTGTTTCAGTCCTGGTTTAGTCCTGGTTTACTCCTGGTTTAGTCCTCCTCTTCAGTCCTGGAATCATTCCTAGGTTAGTCCTGGTTTAGTCTTGGCATATGGCATCTGTGGTGCATGCAGCGCAAAAGTTTGATATAATGTCGGGTTAACGGGCGTATTGTATGGGTGCGGATCTCCAAAAATGGACCCGTGCAGGACTTTGTGCTGTAGGGCTCCATTACGGAATAAATTAATCTTCAGTTTGTTACATAAAGAAGGAGGCAAATAACATAAAGACGACAGCAGCTATAAGTTTTAAGAAGGATGTTAAACAGGGTTGTAAGTGTCCAGTGTGAAAAAAGTATATAAAGTGTTTGGCGAGAGGTTTTACAGACTTAAAACAGATATAATCATTGTAAAATATAAAGCTGACTACTTTGCGGATTTCACTTATCGCAGGTTATTTTTAGAACGTAACCCCCGCGATAAACGAGGGACCACTGTAAATACAAGATGCACAGGTTTAATGCCATACTGTGAAACATTGCAGGCAAAGTCAAATATGTCCTTGCAGACCCCCACTAGAAAAGTTTGATCTCGCTATCTCCATGGAGACAAGCAGATGATGCCACCGTGCAAAGGTGAGATCTGTAAGAATGCATGTTTTCAATGTATTTTTGAGTTATAAAGACACCTGTAATGTTTAATGCCATACTGCGAAACATTCCAGGCGAAGCAACGACTCCTTACAGACCCTGAGCAGAAACGTTCCATGGTGTACCTTTAAAGAGTAATGGTTTTAAAGTTGACAAAGCAGCTAAGGATGTGGTATTTTAAACTTTGAACATTCTGACCGCACCGGCACAGAAAACAAAGTCAAGGAGTGAAGAGAGGAAGAGGCTGTCTGCATGTTTTATAGGATGCTCAGGTCGGGAGAATAAGTGGGACTGACACTGGCTCCGGGAGCGAGAGGAGAGACGAGGAAAACGCTAGAATTATTCAGACTCTCGTGTTGTTCGTATGTGAGGAGTGCAGTGTTTAGTGCAGGAAACTGTCAGCGTACGTCTTAAAGTGTATATGCTGTGAAGTATATGCATATATGGGATGTATAGAGGAAGATACTGTCGCTGCTTCACGTTCTTCCAGGACTGACTTTTCTCCAAACTTTATTTACTTTACAGAGTCCAGAAAGTACTTTGTTGATGTACAGACATTTTACGCCATTTTTAAAATCTGTGTTACGTTGTTTCCTCATCACAAACAGACCTGGAGTTGTGTTTTGTTTCATTCACACATGTTCAACACACAAACACTGCACATTTAGGCTGAGATGTTGTCTCAAACTGAAAGCACTCTATTCCACCTTGTGATGTATTAATACAGGAAGTGCTCCAATATATTTTTAAACTCCATACACTTTCATTAGAATTATTTTGAGCATTTCAGTCCTCGAACTGCCAATCTCTACTGAACTAAAGGTAAAATGTAGGTGTTCACTTGAAAACTACTACTTTATGACAACACAAGGTGGAAAAGAGCATTTTGAGATTTGGAGATGTACAGACTGACTAATAATGCAAGACTACTCATGTATGAATGAAACAAAACACAACTCTAGGTATGTTTTGAGAATGTAATAACATTAGAACATGACACAAGTCACTTTTAATGCATTGTGTGTTGTGTTAATTAATAGTTTCAGTATTTAAAACTTGACCACAAAGAAATGTTTACACTAAAAAGTCAACCTGACATGGAAATTAGCAGTGTGGTCAACACACTCTGTTCTTTGTCTATGGGGGCTTTCAGAGATAAATCTGAAGGAGATATGAAGACATGAAGTATTTGATGAGATGTGACAATAACCGAAATATTGTGATATCGTATCGTCAAAGTTCTCACAATAATATAATGGACCGTCACAATATATCAAATTACAAGTCTCTTTGCTTAAATGAAGAGTTATGGTGCAGCAATAGTTAAAAAAAAGTCAGAGGGGAACTACATAGACCATGATCCTTTGCTCCATTTCAGTGCAGACTACATGAAGAAATAACAGTTTTAAGCACTTTTAAGTCTTAGTTCTTTGGATTAAGTCTTGTCAAGGTATTTTAAGAGGAAAAAGTAGCATATCGCAATAAATATCGTACCGTGAGTTTCATACCGTGACGATATCGTATTGTGAGACTTGGATATCATTACACCCCTAATATTTGAGGAACCGTTCTGGTATATATATGTCTATGTGCATTTTAGTGGTAAAATGTACTTGTTCTAGTTTTGAAATAACATTCTAGGATGTGAAGAGTTAACACAGCATTTTGCTTATAAAACTAGCGACTGATGCCTAGCAGCTGTGACCACTCAAGCTCTTACCTCGGGCTCTTACCTGGAATTGTAAAGTGACTTCAAGGAAAAGCACTGTGTAAGACCACATCATTATTATCATTATCATTATTACACAAGCTCTTCAGATACATCCCATTTTCCCCCAATTAATCATCTTTAACCTATTAACCTACACTCACTGCAGCAGCAAAACCCATAGCCTCCTCAAACTCTGTATGTCACTTTCACTACCACCAGTTTCTAGTCCGTTATCCATTTAAGTTGCCACTAGGAAGAAAAAAAAAGCTTCCAGAGAGAATGAAGCTTGCACCAGTTTTGTTTTATTTGGATAGAGCTGGTAATTATGGACAGTGTTGGGGAGTAACAGATTACATGTACCGGCGTTATGTAATCAGAGTACAAATTATGAGTAACTGTATTCAGTTACAGTTACTGTTTCAATGAGTGGTAATTGGATTACAGTTACTTTGTTGAAATAAATGGATTACACGGCAGTATTTTCCTGTTTTCACATTTTGGGCTAAACCAGGACTAAAACCAGGTCTAAACCAGGTCTAAACCAGGTCTAAACCAAGACTAAACCAGGACTAAACCAGGTCTAAACCAGGAATAAACCAGGTCTAAACCAGGTCTAAACCAGGACTAAAACCAGGTCTAAACCAGGTCTAAACCAAGACTAAACCAGGACTAAACCAGGTCTAAACCAGGACTAAACCAGGTCTAAACCAGGTCTAAACCAGGACTAAACCAAGTCTAAACCAGGTCTAAACCAAGTCTAAACCAGGACTAAACCAGGACTAAACCAGGTCTAAACCAGGACCTAAACCAGGTCTAAACCAGGTCTAAACCAGGACTAAACCAGGTCTAAACCAGGTCTAAACCAGGACTAAACAAAGTCTAAACCAGGACTAAACCAAGTCTAAACCAGGTCTAAACCAGGACTAAACCAAGTCTAAACCAGGTCTAAACCAGGACTAAACCAGGTCTAAACCAGGTCTAAACCAGGACTAAACCAGGTCTAAACCAGGACTAAACCAGGTCTAAACCAGGTCTAAAACCAGGTCTAAACCAGGTCTAAAAGCAGGACTAAACCAGGACTAAACCAGGTCTAAAAGCAGGACTAAACAGGACTAAACTAGAAGTAAAACCAGGTCTAAACAATATGACACCTAGCAGTAGGATGGACATAATTTAAAGCAGCAGTGATCGCATATAAAAATAATTTCTCTATCAATAATATTTTTAATATGGTTAAGGAAAGACTGGTCTTTTTATTGTCTTTAAGCAGATAAAACTTTTTATGTTCAGATCCTAGTGCTTCTCTACAGCAAACCTATTCATGGAGACTTGGGCTCAACAGACAATTTGAAGAGAACAAACAAGAAGTTTCACGATGTGGTTGCTATGTTCATGTCGTTTTAAAAAGCATACGTTACTCACTTTAAGTAATTTAATGGATTACGTTTACATTTTGGGCTATGTAATCTGTAATCTGTAGGGGGATATATTTTAAAAGTCACCTTCCCAACACTGATTATGGAAATATTAACCATAAACCAGGTCAACATATCTACAATCTGACAAATTCCACCTGTACTCAAGCTCAATTTTAAAAGTTAGGGATTGTGTTATGTTGTGTTATGACTGTATCCTATAAACTAATAATCACTCTTCACTATTTTGCATGTGTTATTTTCTCCTATTTCATTTGTCAGTCAGCCCTCTTACCTGCGCAGGAGCAGTTTGGGGTGGTTCTTGCTCTCCAGGTTGCGGTCGATGAGGTCGGACAGCAGGTGTTTGAGGACATCTGTGGCGTACTCCAGCCGTCCCTGTAGAGCGGTCATGATGAGAGAGGCCACGTTCCCTCTGTCCCTCATGGAGAAGGACCTCTGCATTTCCAGAGTGCGGATAAACGTCAGCAGGAACACTTTGTTGTTGATGAGCTGACCAAAAACTTTCAGCGCTTTCTCCACGTGAAGCTGTCCGTTTCCTGACACCTGACAAAGACAAAATACATAGTTAAATATTCAGAAATGTGACCGCCTTTATAATATATTGGAAAAGAGAAGAGGAGACAATTTTTATTCTAGTTACATAAAATAACAGCTACATAACACATTTGGAGTTTAAACTGTGCACAAGAGGTTTTGATGATTCTCTAATTTTGACTTAATTTGGTTGGATAATACCTGGTGTCAGTATAAATTATACATAGTTTTAAACCAAACAAGAAGTAATTTGCCAAGAAAAGTTGTAAAATATGTTGAAAATTACAGGAAGTACAGAGATCACACTAGGGAGAATTCTGTCCAAAAGTCTGGCACAATTTACACAACAAACACTTTTTTTCTGAAACTTTAAACACAAATTTAAAAAGGTGTTATATTCTATTGTCAAATCATAATTTCCATGTACATTTGAGGAGTTAGGGCCCAGTGTACTACTTGTTTGCTGGGTAACAGTGCTGGAATTCCCTAGTGTGACGTCATCATTTACGACCAGCAAATAAGAAATTGTATAATGTTTTATAAAATATTAAATATAGTGGTCTTAACTGTGTTTTTGCTAAATGAGTAGTTCAACCTGTTATAGGAACTGTTATCGACCTCTGTACTGGTATCGGTTGATATCGGACACTGGCAAATCAATATCGGAATCGAAAAACGTGGACTAACTCAAACACGAGAAATATCATGTTTTGAATCTCCCACACAAGCCCCGGGGTTTCAAAATGGATGCCCATTCAAGTCAATGGGCTGAGCTCAATGGTGCATGATCCCAGGTTAGCCTAGGTACTTCCTGTGGCTGTGGGCCGACCGAGCATGTGCAGTAGTGCTCTTTTCTCCCGCGGACACACATGAATGCACGCGAACGCACGATGCGCGAGCTCGTGTATCGCTTTGACCAATCAGAATGAGAGGAGCTCGAGCGGAGCAGAGCAGATTATAAAATGTTTTTTAAGACAACTGAAGGATTTTGAGCTGAGAAAAAGTGTATGATCTAAAAATGGGTAAAAATCGCCACAAAATCCAACATTTTTGAAAGTTTTAGGTGCTCTGTCAGCCGAACACGAGCAGTTTGTGATTACATTCTGCTCTATGAAAAAATTCTGTCTCAGTACCAGTGAGTGACCACTACGTCAACTGGAGGCAGCTACAAAAACATCCTATCCAGTTATTTTAATAGATCCATGCTCCCAAATCGTAAAAACACATCTAACGCTAAATTCCTAGATGCCCTTGAATGTCTCTGAGCCCCCATTTGAACTTATTTGGCTCTTTGACTTGCATCTACACCAGGACAAGACTGCTCTGACAATTTGAGTTAAAAACGATTTGAATTTGGTTGTGTGGCGCGCTCGGAGTTCTCTGTGCATGCAAACGTAGTGACTGACATTGATGGAGTGTGCAAGGATCCAAGTGGCCGATGAGATACTGGTAGCTTGCCTCCTGCATAAGAAAATGCTAGTTTAAATGGTTCACCACGGCTCCTTCCTTCCCTGTTTCTTTAATACTTTACCAGGATAAACTAAAATGTGCTTTTTCAAATAGATAATCTGTAACATTGATTGCCCCAGTCTGTTGTCTCTGTGCTATTATTATAATGTTGTTTCCTCATCACAAACATACCTGGAGTTGTGTTTTGTTTAAGCCAAGTTCACTCTATTCCACTTTATGATGTTACGTGGCAAAGTGCTCTGACGTGTTTTCAGACTGCGGACACTTTCACTTGAATCATTTGGATAATTTTAGCCCTGGAATTGCCGATCTCCACTAAACAAAAGCTAAAAGTTAACTATTAACTTGAAAACTACTGCTTCATGACATCACAAGGTGGAACAGAGCATTTTGAGCTTTTTAAATGCATAGTAGACAGTCTAATAAAAACATGTATGAATGAAACAAAGCTCAATATGGCTTAAAGCTGCATTTTGTAATATTGTGTAACTTCTATCTTCATGGAGACCAAACCAGACCAAGTTACAAGTCAGATCTGTGGAGAGGCGATCCACTCACAGTCAAAATGCCTGTTTTTCAAGGTATTTTTGAACTATAAAACCATATGTAATTGAATAAATTCTCCAAGCATCCATACATCCAAGCAGGTGACAGACCCCTGACCAAAAAGTTACACAGTTAAAGCTAAATTCTGCGCTATATACACAATTTATTTTCTGCCTGTTGACTCTGTAAGAATAAAGTTTCAAAGTGCATCCATTTGGTCAGATTTCAGCCTGACCTTGAGATTCACCAAATAAAGATTTTCCCCAAACACTTCTCTCATATTTCACTCCGGTCAGACACAGACTACATTATGGTCAGTAACTGAGAGCATTTTAATCAATTATTGACTTGTGTTGGCAAAAGACCGTGAGTTAGCAGCTTTTCGGTTTTCTACTCAATTGTCAGTCTCAAGGAAAGACAATACTAACTTCGGCTGTAGCAAAGTTATTCTAAAACTGTCCTCAAAGTTCTTTATTACACAAGTTTTGTCTTAGTTGGAGAGGGCACATCCTGGCATTTAGCTAATTGATTTGGCGGATTAATTACTTTGAATAGTTTTTATTGCAGCCTTGAGCCAAAATATCTTTTCTTTCTTTTCGAATTAAGCACATTGCGGATGACATTTTGCACAGTTAGTCTAGACAACCTCAAAAAGAAGTGTATGAAAGGGTAATGAAGGATATTGTGCTTGGCTAATTTTCAACCTCCACTTAAATTTGATATTTTTAAAACTGAATAGTAGTTAATAGGAATGGAGTGATACATAAATGCAATCTTACAGACCCTTTTGCAGCTTTAGGAGTTGCAGTGAGAGCAGTGAGAGCACTTTTGTAGAAATATGGTTTCATTAAAGTCTAAGACCAATTTAAAGGTCCAATTTGAGCCATGAGTGAAGAGTTTTTAGTTTGAACTCTAACGTGCTTACTTAGATATAATAAAGCAAAGGGAACAGTTATCCATTTCCTTGTTTTCTAATAAATGTTGGTTAATCTGCTTGTCTGTTATTGACCAAGGTCTGTTCCAGTTCTTGATTTTCTAACTTTCTGTTTGCTGAAGGTGCACTATAACTTTTTGGTTATGGGTCCCTCACCTGCTTTTTTTCTATGGAGGGGCCATTGCTCTGCCTGGAATGTTCCACAGAATGACTTTAAACAGCTCTACCTTGTCTTTATTCAATTACAGGTGGTGAAACTGTTCAAAAATACCAAAAAAGAGGCATTCTTCGCAGATCTGACCTGTGACTTTGTCTGGTTTGGGCTTTATGATGAAAGAAAGGTTTAATACCATACTGTGAAACTTTCCAGACAGTCCAGTAATAACATCTCATTGGGCAGACCCTCCACCAGAAAAGTTACACGTTGCACTTTTAAATCAAAGATCTTGTTAAGCCCTGTGAGAAAAAATACTTTGTGATAGTGGACTTTACAAAAATACATTGAACTGGCTGAACTGAATTGGCACAGAAGGTAAGTAAGTTTATTATAAGTATTATTTACCGGAAACGTTCTTACATCAACTATTTGTCAGCTAGTATAGTGAAGTATTGAGTATTATAGTACAGTGCAGTATAGTACAGTGTAGTATTGTGTAATATAGTATAGAGTATGATAGTATAGTGTAGTATAGTGTATTATAGTACAGCATAGTACAGTACAGTGTAACATTATAGTATAGTATAGTATATAGTATAGTATAGTATAGTACAGTATAGTGCAGCATAGTACAGCATAGTACAGCATAGTACAGCATAGTACAGTACAGTGTAACATTAGTATAGTATAGTATAGTATAGTACAGTATAGTGCAGCATAGTACAGTATAGTATAGAATAGTATAGTATAGTGTGGTATAGTGTAGTATAGTGTATTATAGTACAGTATAGTATAGTTCAGTGCAGTATTGATAATATAGTGCAGTGTAGTATAGTACAGTGTATATAGTGCATTATAGTACAGCATAATACAGTACAGTGTAGTATTATTGTACAGTACAGTATAGTATATTGTAGTATAATGTATTATAATACAGTATAGTATAGTATAGTATAGCATAGTATTGTAGTATAGTGTAGTATAGTACAGTATAATTTAGTAAAGTGCATTATAGTACAGTGTAGTATAATATTGTATAATTTTGTATAGTATAGACTAGCATTTTATTTTATACACAATACGTTAACTACTACTTTTGACTTCTTCAATGAAGTGTACCACAGTCTGTCTGTACTGAAATAAGTACTATAAGGTTCATTGGTTTCCCTTCACATAGATCTGTGCTGCTGTGTATTCTTGTACTGTATCTTGTAACTGCAAACTTTGTTGTAGTAGTTCCACATTATGAGATGAACAGAGCCATAGTGCAATCCAATTTTGCCTGCATTCTCATCGAAAGACTCAAATGAGCTTCTACTTTTGTCCAACAATGATTCATGGAATTTTTTGAGCAACTTCAGCATTCTTTGTCCAGTATTTTATGTATTTTCTTGTAAACCAATACTTTCTAAAACTATAGTACCATAGCAAGTAAAAGTATCCGGTATACACAGCCCTCTCCTCTGTGCCTCTGTTGCTCATTTTCAGATACAGCTGTTGTGAGGAGAACTGAGATGTGTTGTTAACCAGTCCATTTTGCCTCCTGCTCTCGTACCTCCAGCGCTGACAGAGGAGGGGGCATTACTCACTTCATTACCCCCTCATCGTGCAGCCGGCCGGGGGTGAAATAGCCAGCGCGGGGACCCTGTTTTCCACCAGGAGCAGAAATTTCAACTCAACATGTTTCTAGAGTTGTGTATAACAGCACGTGGGTGTCCTCTGCCCTCTGGCCATTTCAACATATGGACACACAGTGTATCTGTGACACTAACCACGGTTTTACAGAATACGTTTTGTACGATAGATTTCTAACATTTTTACTGAAACTTTTTATGAGATCATAATTTTACTGCTGCAATTTCATTTTATAGGTTCTACATGACTCAAAATGGATTCTTGTGAGCTTTAAGCCATGTTATAATGTTGTTACCTCCTCTGAAACAGACCTGGAATTGTGTTTTGTATCATTCACACATGTTTGAGTAATCCTTTATTATTAGTCTGTCTACATCTCCAAAGATCAAAATGTTTTGTTCCACCCTGTGATGTTATGAAGCCACAGTTTTCAAGTTAACAGCTACTATTTATCTTTTGTTTAGTAGAGATTAGAAATTCCAGGACTGAAATCACGAATGGAGTTTAAAACAAAGTGAAGGACTTCCTGTAATACCACATGAAATCACAAGGTGAGAGAGCATCTGCGTGTTAAACAAGAAGCAAGAATTATAAGAAGAAAGAAAAATTATAACGTGTTACACAATTTATTTTTTAGCTTGTTTTTAGTGGGTAATTTAGGTTGTCACTTTTGATACATTTTGATGCCATAATATTATGATGAACATTAAAAGGTGGGAAAAACACATTTTATGAGATTAATGCATTTTTTTTGGCAAGTGTGAGCAAAAACGTCACAAGAGGTGGAACAGGAACAGTGGAAGAGACGTACAGACTTCTTTAGCAGAATCTTCAGAACAGGAGATAATATTTTCTGATGATTCTGGTGTTATAATTTTTTACCTCATTACAAAAATACTTGGAGTTGTGCTTTGTTTCATTCACACATGTTTAACACACATACTTTGGATGAGTTCTTCTCTCAAAAAAAAAAAAAAACACTCTGATCCACCTTGTGATGTCATGTGCACGAAGTTAAACTTAGGGGTGGGTGATATATTTTTTAAACTCGATATGGATTCTGACATATCGTATATATCATTATAATGCTTATATTCAATTCTGATTTCGCAGCTTCTCTATGCTCGCCCCCGCGCGCCCCCGCCTCCCTGAATCTGCTGCTTGTGTCTCTTTCATTCATTCCTCACTACTGCTGTGAACGCCGAAAGTTGGTGCCAGTGAAAAGCTTCTAGCACCACGAACCTTTTCCACCATTTACAGACAAGACCATCAGCAGAACATCCTCATATTCCACTGAGTCGTGTCCTTTAGTCCAAAAGAAGCTGAACGCATGTTTATGCAAATTAGCCATGTGGTTTTCAGTTTTGTTTCTGTAAAACGTAAACACACGTGCGCAAAACTGCATTAAACACATTATAATCTCTAACGGGCTGATGTGGCTCTATAGTCCTTATGCTTTAAGTGTTGTAAAGTTTAGTAATGTAAAGTTTATTTATGCAGAGGATTTTAATCAATAATTTGCTGCAGTGTAACTTGTACAATAGTGTTTGGAAACATTCAGTTTGATCTGCAGTGGATTGTGGGAAACCTCATAGCTCCTTACGCTGGTGAGAAACATGGGTCTGTTAAAATAAGGAACCTCCTGATCTTCCTCTGCTAAAGGAGCTCAAGGTTATCATATGGTGAACAGAGTTAATGCAAAGATGAGCTTGAGTTGAGTTGTTTTATTTATGAATGAAAAGAAGGCAATATGTATTATTTCTTCTATTTTACAGTTAAATTGTTATTTATGTAATCAAGGATTTTTTGTAATCTTAAATGTGGCAGAAGCACTTTGTTCCTACATGAACTGCCTGCCTCTTGCACTTCAGTAAAAAAAAAGACCTTGTGGGATTTGACATATTTGTTTTTGCAGGAGTTTTGGGGGGGTTATTTTTCCTGTACACATATCAAGATACATATCGTATATCGGGATATAGCAAAATTTATCAAGATATTTTTTGCTCGCCCAGCCGTAGTTAAACTCCATACAGCTTCACTGGAATCATTTGGAAGATTTCAGTCCTGGAATATCCAATCTCTACTGAACAAAAGTAAACAAAACTACCACACTAACCCTAACACAGTGCTCCTTGTTGCTTAATCCTTGCAGTGATTTCATCCTCCATGTTGTATTTTTGTCTGTACCTCACCTCTTGCTGCTCTATATCAATCCTAAAGTGAGATATCTTACCTCGAGCTCTCTGAGGACGGGGTGGTCTTCGATGCCGGGGAACAGGACCCTCATGGCGTACGTCCTGTAGTCCAGATAAGGGATCCCCGCCCGGTCCAAGTCACTGGTCAGTTCATTTATGTCTGTCTGCAGCTCCGCAAACGCTGGAAGGAGGAAAGACAAAACGTGATCTTCTGTCATTATCAAACCATATGCACTTCAAGTAGTCTAATGAAGCATGAGCAAAGGCTTAATACATTATGAAGAAATAGTATATTAAGAATGATTTAGGCTTAGGAACTTAAAGCTGCATTGCGTATCTTTTCCGGTATGGGCCCACCACTTCCCCCCTATGTTGATTTTCCCATATATGATCTGTATTATTTAATTTAATGACATTTCATTTAACTATCTCCATGGAGACAAGCAGGCCACATCACCAGGCCAAGATCTGTGGAGAAGTGGACCTGCTCACAATAATAATAAAAACACCTGTAATTGAATAAATAATGCCATAATTAATGCCATACTGTGGAACATCCCAGGCAAAACAATAACAGCATTGAGATAATTAGATGGCGGATCCTCCACGATAACTTTTCTGGTGGCAGGTATTAGTGCGTGTCTAAAATATGATACAGCTTGATGATTCAAAACTCAAAGCCGCACTTTGTAGAAGAAAAAATATTCACAGAAAAACATTTGATTTCCACGCGCAAATTTGTCAAGCTGTTCTTTAGTCTTTTAAGCCTATTTGTTCAAAAGACAGATTCATAGACATAATTTCGTGACAGTCACCAATTGTGGAAAGAATAACAAAAATATGACAGAAGGGAACGACAATACTATTTATTTATAGTTTTTTAAGATTTAACAATGCAAGAAAATTAGAATTGGCTGCTGTCAAAGTAAACAGTTAGAAATACATGGACATTTGTTATTTAGTTTCTCCCTTCATGCTTCATAGCTCTATGTTTAACAAGATTCAGATTGGAACACAAATAAGAGTTAAAGGTGCAATGTGTACATTTTTCATTGGGGGTCCGTCACCTGCTTGTTTCTATGGAGATGTCACTGCTCTGCCTAGAATGTTCCACAGTATGACATTAAACAGTTCTATCTTACATTTTTTTCAATTACAGGTGCTTTTATAGCTCAAAAACATCTCCAAAAACAACATTCTGACAGTGAGCAGAATTGCCTCTCCATAGACCTGACTTGTAACTTGGTCTGGTTTGGTCTCCATGAAGAAAAAAAGGTTTAATGCCATACTGTGGAACATTCCAGACAAGGCAACAACATCTCAACGCATTTGAGGGACTGACCACCAGAAAAGTTACACAATGCACGTTTTAACAATTTACTTTTCTATATTAGGGGTGTGCAAAAATATCAAAATATCTCTATATTGTGATACTAAATTTGGTGATACAGTATCGTTAATATGGGCTGCTTTTTTGATATATTGTTAAGAGTACTTTTTGGTATTTAGTGGTAAGAAACTTGACATATTCACTCTTTTCATGATTAAAATCGCAGGGGGCGCTCCACAGCGTGCGACCATATCTTTTATTCCTTCTGCCATAAAGCTTTTAAGTGGAAAGTGAATTTGCTATTGTGTCCCTAATGCACTGAGGTTTGTATGTATGGCATCTGTTTTTCTTTTTCTTTTATTATTTATAGATTGTGCACGACCAGAGATGTGTGAACTGAATTGCCCTTTGAGATAAATGAAGTTGTTGACTGATTGATTGATTGATAAAATAGATGTATTTCATTTTTATTAAAACTCATGGCACATAAACCCCAAAAATAACAATAAGTTCAAATATTTGTGCAGAGAAACGCAAATCTATTACAGACATCTTTTTTAATTAATGAACTCTTTTTTTTTTTTTTACAAAATTTATAAAATATTAAAAATATTAAGAAAAATGCAATTTCAACACAATGTTTTAACATTAACTTATATGCAAATAAAAATAAGTCTGTTTTTTTTGGAAAATCCTGCACTTGGCTCCACTTTTCTCATTTTGGACATTTTGCTGATGAGGGTGTCACAGTCAACAGTCAAAACGATCGTCCTTTAAGAGCGTTTGGAAAGAGACAAGTCTTCATTTGTGCTGCTCTGGTGGGAGGGGCCACGTACAGAGATGCTGGAGACACTGCTATGATAAACACCACAGAAAATTACCAATGTTTTAATAGAAAATATAATTAAAATATTTTAGTAGAAAATCAGCCGAGGACCAGATTAAAGGTATTGGGGGGGCCAGATCCAGCCCCTGGGCCATATGTTTGACACCTCTGGCCTAGTATCATACTAATAAGCAGGAATAAGGAGTGTATTAATAGGAAAGTGTAAATGTCTAACTAACAGCAGAATAAGCTTATGTGGAATTAGACATCAATAAGGGCTGAATAAATACTAATTAATGACAAATTAACAATCTACAACTGTGCTAATTAGCAGGTAGTTAGATTAATGTACCCTAAAATAAAGTGTTACCTTAAAGTTTTACTGAATTTTTGGCAGTCCCGGTTGCTGTAAAGTTGCACGGAAAAATAATAAAACTTATTTTTTACATAGGGTGAGATAGGTGATGGGGGAAGGCAGTGCAATTAGGCTCCAAATTCAAAGGGTGAATCGGTTCCTCTAAAGAATCAGCGGCAGACAGAGCCGTGAGCCGTGAGCGAACTTGAGACGAGACTGCATACAAATGAACCTGTGCCTAAACCAACGGAGCAAAGGCAGCCATCCTTTTTCATCTTTATTTACCCTCATGATGAACCTGACAGCCCCAGCACTACATGTAGTTATTTCTACACTTCCACTACCTTTCCTCTACCCCACCAGCCACGAGGGGATACCAAAAAACAGACCTTGAGAATTAATTATTATGTGGGATGAAGTGTACCACAACTACATTGGTTTATCATAGTATAAATAATAGATGGGACAGAAGTTTTTGGGGTCCAATATTTGCTGTAAGTACATTTTCTTTTCACTTGTGGAACTCAGTATTTCCCATTAATAGAGGAGACTATGGTGACCCCCCCTTAGTCCAACTTTCACCCTCATAGTCTAGCTGAGTAAAAATTTGACAAAACAAATAATGCTTTATGTCTGCAGTGTCATCATAAACATAGAATAAACCATCTATAATCTGGGCTTTTCTGTGCAGCAGAGGCAATAAATGACATTTATATACCACAATATTGTATTAAATTAAATTATTCAACAATGGATCGCTTATGCCACCAGAGCAGAGTAGAAACTTGAGTAGAAAACTGTGGGAAACACTGCAAACTTCTTTTTGTTTTGTAGTACCATCCAATTTGAGCTATGATTCATAAATACCTAGCCTGATTCATCCGACGGTTTCACTTTGAGGAAACCGTCTGGTCTTGTAGCATTAGAATTCATTCGCTCAACAGTAACCGAGTACTTTTTTTCATTTAAACAGTCGCTGCTATTTGGTCATGACGTATGTAATGCGTGGCTAACAAGGTCAGCTGGTATTGCTTTTCCCAAATTCCGTAGGAAGAAGGACAATAACGTATTTCCCCTTAATGAAATTCACCAAATATTTGTTTGTTCCAGCTTTAAATCCTTGATCTCGGGAATCGTTGACAACACAGAATGTATGGCTCTTTGCTGATTGGCTGGTGCCTGAACTCACACTTCCAGGGTTTTTGCGAACCATCTAGTGTATTCAGATTCCTGACCTAGTCACTGGAGAGAAATGAAATTAAGTGGAGGCACTAGATGGCGCCAGTCTCTCAAATAAATACCTTTTATCACTTATAATAATATAATAAATACCAGATAAGTGCTTCATTGTGTTATTTATTTATTGTAGCTTTTTCACAGTTTTGTTAATTTAGAAATGGATTTAAGCCTCTTGTACATAACATAAAATAACTTCAATTAAAGGTGCAGTTAAAGGTGCACTATGCAACTTTTCTGATAGAGAGTACACCACCTGCTTGTCTCCATGGAAATTACTTAGTTTGGAATGTTCCACAGAATGGCATTAGACATTATAATCTCCAAGGATACAAACATGAGACATTACCTTCCCAAGTACAGGTCAGATCTGTGTAGAGGCGTCCCCACTCACAATAAGAATGCATGTTTTTCATGGTATTTTAATAATAAAAAACACATTTATCTGAATAAATACAAGACAGATGGGAATTAATGCCATATTGTGGAACATTCAAGGGAAAGCAGTCCAAATTGTTAGTATAATTATTTGCCGGCTCAAATCATCAGTTGTGTAGCTGAAACATTGGATTTTCATATTTTCAATGACTATTTATATCTAAGAAAAAGAAAAGTATAAAATAATTTAATATATTTTGAAATTATTTTGGATCATATAAGGAAGATGGAGTTATACTATTTTAAGGGGGCCCAAAAAGACATATCCTACAGGTCCCCGCCAAAGCTGAACACGGCCCTGCTCCTCTCTCAGTGTTATATACCAGTGTGTAAATTGCCTGTAGTCGGGGCCCCTGTGCGTCGTATCAGTCTGTAACAGCAGGTGAGAGGTAGTTAATTGGCTCCATCCCGGTCTGAATCTCACTCGGGGCTTTAGTCTGGTGTCTACTCTGCGCCTTTTACCCTGAGGTGGGGGGTACGACTCCCTGCGCTCAGCCAATCACAAAAGCAGTGGTCGCCTCCCAACTCTACCTGCCCTGAGACACAGACAAACACACATATAGACACCAGCGTCCCGGGATAGCTGGTCAAATCCAGCCCTCAAGTCACAGCGCGCACCGAGTCACCGCTAATGGTTTAAACGGTAATCTTCTCGTTTTTTTTTTTTTTTTCTCACCGCTTCGGGCTCGGGTCTGATTTCCCTTGTTATAGTGGCATGTACGTGTGGTGGTATTAAAGAGATAGAGGGGGATGACGGCGATGGGGCTGCATGCTAACGCGGAGTGGGGCGGATAGGGCAGCTAGAGGGGAGAGCTGGTAATAAGGTCCAAAAGCGTGATGAAATCTATAGCACACAGAGGTGAATACAAGGTTTGATATAAGGGTGCTTTTGCTGATTGGGTGCGGTGATGACATTTCTGGACAAGCAGTTTTTATTTTAGCAATGGCAGCAAAGTTAAAATGCCAATTGCGGAGTGGAAGGAGAGGTGTTGCAGGGCTATTTCACATGGCTTTTTCTTGTCAATTACAAAAAGTAAAGGCATTGCAGATTTTAATGTTTTATTAAACTGACTCTTGGGAGTTTTAAGTCATGTTAAAATGTTGTTACCTCATCAAAAACATACTCAGAGTTGTGTTTTGTTTCATCCACATGTTTGACTATTCCTTTATTATTAATCTAGCTACATTTCCAAAGCTCAACATGCTGTGTTCAACCTTGTGATGTCATGCAGTGGTAGTTGCAAAGTTAAGAGCTACGTTTTAACTTTAGTTCAGTAGAGATTGGCAATTCCAGGGCTGAAATTATCTAAATGATTCTAGTGAAGGAGTATGGCATTTAAAAACACAGTGGGGCACTTCCTGTATTACCACATGACAACCCAAAGTGGAACAGAGTCTGTTCAGGTTACGTTTACACGAATCACCATTTCACTGTATCACTGTATCACTGTATCCAGATGTCGTTTTCTGTTTTCGCAATCAAAGCCTTCCCTATCCACACAGTAATGCAAAACTGCTTGAAATGCTAGTCACATGACTACGCTGGCCTCATGTCATCATGATGTCACGACGTCACATGGGTGGTAGAAAAAAGAAAGTGGAGCACTGTGTCTGAAGTTGCAGCAACCAATTTCGAGCCGAGGAAGATGGCAAGCGTGAACAGTCTTCTAGCTCTAGCTACGCTGTTTCCTGTTTGTCTATGGTTTGTTTAAACTGTTGTCTGCAATAAAGTCACATGACCGATGTCACGAATCAGCAAGGCGCAAATCACAGTGACGTGGTCCAAAAAGGATGCAACTAGAGCTCCTACATCAGTGTATCAACGTTTTCAGGCGTCCACACAGTGCATCAGATCTGTACTCAGATGTTTCTGGAGACATTTTCCATCGGATTAGTGTGGACGAACACTGCATCCGCAACGAAAACGACTCAAATACGTACTAATGTAGATGCTGCCTCAGTTTGAAAGAAGAACTCAGCCTAAATCTGCCAGGTAACAAGAAACAAAACACAACTGTTTTTTGTGATGAAGAAACAACATTATAACACGGATCAGAAAATGGTATCATGTGGGTCCTTTAAGGATAGCCCCTTAAAATGTGTAATTTCTTTTTTCGGGTCCTGTTTTATTCTTATATTAGTTTTAGGTTTTAGTCTTGGACCAGGCACTACTTTATTCACATTTAATTGGTTCCAGTATAGTTGTTTTTAGATGACAAATTACCATTAGTTAAGGGTGCACAATGTAGGAGCCCACTCACCAGCTTGTCTCCATGCTTTTACTCCATGCTTTTGCCTGTACTGTTCCACAGTGTCGCATTAAAAAGATATATCAGCATGGGAACAAGAAGGAGAAGCCACTGGACAGAGTTAAAGGTCACATCTGTGGAAAGGCAAGCCCACTCAGAGTAAGAATTCCAATGTATGTTTGGCAATAAAATATAACTGGTAATGCTGCCATACTGCGGAACATTTCAGGAAGAGCAATAACATCTCCATAGAGACAAGCAGCGTCCTCCACCAGAAAAGTTGCCTAGTGCACCTTTAACCTATAATCGATTACACTACATCATTTTAACATTCCACATTGACCCACACGATGTATTTCTGATTGACAGTTACAATTATGCTAATAAGTGAATAAAAGGTACTAAATATCAGAACTATTGAATTATGAGTTGGAACCTATAAAGCAGAGGTGTATGCTATAGCGGTAAGAAACCACTAAACCAAGTAACCTATCCATTTATTGACCCTTTGTGTCTGAAAGTAGCCATTATAAATAAATCAAAGTGGCTCCACCGTTCACTTTGACCTGTTTAATAGATCAGCCTAATAGTGTAACTGGTCACATTAAACCTCAATAGGCCACTTAATCTTTCAGGGAGATTACAATCAGATAGAAAATCTTCATTAGGTTATCTCCGGCCGTGCACTGGGACATAGGTCGTGGAATCCAGAGAGGAGAGATAATGCTAACATGCCCGCTATAGGCTAGATAAATTATGCAAATAGCCACAATGGATGGTATAGACTAGAGTGTTCCACTAAGATGTAGAAGGACTTACACATTGGTTGGACGAAAGCTAATTTTATAACAAAAATTCATTATATACATTTTTGATAAAGCTGCCTGCATTGGAAAGGATAGGATTACTAAGAAAAACTGTGGATAGAAATAGAAACAGTTAAGTACAAGGCGGGTCACATGCAGGGCTAAGTGACACAAGCTATAAGTGCAAATGTGATATAGAACTAAAGGAGTGTATGGCCCAGATGGGGAAAGAAAACTTCTCTGCATTATTTATTATGTGGAGAGCAGTGTACATGTGTGGGTCCAACCTTTAAAATGAATATTCTAAGAAAACTACACTCATAATGCATTGTGCAGTGCTGGAGTGGGAGTCACCCACACTCGAAGAATCCATGGATTTCAGCTTCCTGTTTATAGGGACTATTGACTATTGAAAAAATATGTTTTTATTGTTAATTACAGATGCATCTCTGCATCTGAACAACCAGTGTTGCTGGAGCACCCTGTGAGGAGGAGTGAGCTGCTAGAGGAAGCCTCAGGTGGAGGATTTTACCTGTAGTGCAGGACAGACCCAGGGAAAACCCACTCACAGAGAGAATCATGTAAACTTTCAAAAATGCCCAGATATTGGGAATCAAACTTAAGGCCTTCTTACTGTGAAGCGTCTCGCCTTTAATTAGCGCATACACATACCTTCCTTGCACTCCAGGGCGACCCTGGACTCCAGGTTGTCCATTTGCATCTGCAGCCTCTTGAGCGTTAGGTCATTCTCTCTGGACTTGCGCTTGTAGGCGATAAGGACAAGGATGACGATGATGAGGAGCAGCCCTCCTCCAGCCGCGATGCTCACAATGGCCGGGAGAGTGAGCAGAGAGTCGGACATGATGTGGACTGAGCCGGGGGACACGTGGAGACCCCCCACCTGCACCTATACACACAGGATACAAGCATGTTTAGAGACATTTCATTATGGATGATTAGAATACATTAAGAATATGTTTTGGTCAAAAACTGGAAAAAGCATGGTGTTCTAAAACTGTTGACCAGTAGTGTGTGTGTGTGTGTGTGTGTGTAATTTATAAAATTTTGGCCTAAAAAAAAAAAAATAAAAATAAATAAATAAATAAATAAATAAATAAATAAATATATATATATATATATATATATATATATATATATATATATATATATTATATATATATATATATATATATATATATATACCAGCCCACACACAACCTGTAGACATTCTATAGAAATTAACATTAGATGACTGCAGATTATAGTTTTATAGTTGGCAATTATAGGTTGTTTTCAATGTTATAATTTGAATAATATTCATATTTTTAAATAAGTGTGCAAATGAAATAAGAATAATTGAGGAATAATCAATAATTATGCTAATTTTGAAACATGAGCAAATCAGTCTGTGAGTATACTTTTTTGCAAATATAACATTTTGGTGTTTTATTTTCATGCATTTAATTCATGCTGAAGTATTCATTTCCCACATAAAAGTAATGGATAAGGCCTAATGAGTCATAAGATTTAGCATAAGAAAAGACAATAAAGTGAGCTGAATATGAACACATAATTCACAGTGTGCTGCTGAGAGGGACTGACCGCGCTGGACTATAAGCAAAACTCAGATCTCAAAATAATTGCTGTGGATTCTGACTGAACCTTTTGACCGTGATTGCACCTCCCTGCTCTGCCTCTGACACGTCTCCTGCTGTGGAATAAACAATGGAAGGCCCACACAATAATACAGTTCATGACTAAAAAAAGATGAACTATCTTATAGCAGAACAGCAGTGAATGCTCGTGCAGATAAGTCTATTATGCTTGAAAAGACCAGCACTTTGTATGGTGAAGTTTAGAGGATCAAAGCAGCTGGTTCTTAAACACTCTTTTCTTTTTAAAGGTGCACTATTTAAAGGTATGCAACTGTAAAGAGCAACTGAAACTTCTAACTGAATAGACAAGATGGATAACTCTAAAGCCATACTGTGGAACATTCCAGGCAATGTAGCTAATATCTTGAATTTAAATAATAAGTCATTTCTGTTATTTCTTTGAAATATTTTGCCAGTGGAGAATAATTTGTCTTTAAATGAGCAAATGCATCAGTGAATGTGTAAATTGTGTATTTTATAGACTGCTCTATTCATTTATGGTGACATAATAAACCCTCAATAAAGGAGATAAGTCCATTAAATCTGAACTGACCATGACTTTGTATTCAGGGGTTGGGTGGCTCACACAACTAATTTTTACTTCAAACAAAACTGTTGAATCATTTCTTTCAGTTATATGCTGCATATAAATAGAGAAATGTACATTCCTTCCTTTTTTAAAAGATGTGATTATTTTTTGCATAACTATCTTTCTCAAATGGTATTTATCCATTAAAAATACTGTATCTGTTTTAAAAAGTTTAAAAACAGAACTCGTTACTGTGGTGACTTTATAAGCACTTTTCAACACTTTCACAAAACAGAGTGGAGTTTTGCCATGATGGAAAGCTAACAACAACTAGCATGCTAACCACACACTTCCTGACAAATATAAAAAGCTTTATAGTTAGACGCAGGCAACACAGAGCGAACATATTTTGACCTCAGAGCTGTTTATACAGTATCTCTATATTTTCAAATAGATGCATGATTTTTGAAGAAACAAAACATAAATCCTGCATAAAAAAGGTAAATCCATTAAGTCTGAACTGACCATGACTTTGTATTGTCCGGTGAGGTTGGGCGGCTCACACAGGAGCTGGCTCTCAGACACAGTGACGGAGCAGGGCGTGTCCCCAATTAGGACGGTGTAGTTCAGCTTCACGCCACCAGAGGCCGACGGCACCAGGTTTCTGCCCTGAGGCGGCAAAACAAAACAGCAGGGGGTAAGATCATATGGTACAGTGAGAGTATAAAGCCAATATGTCACCCAGAACAGTGTGAAAGAGAGGAAGAGGGGGAGAGGGGAAGAGCAGGAGGCCTGGACAAAGACTTCAAAGAGCGGCTGCAATATGGTTATTTAACGAAGATTTAATAACATAAAAGTAATACGTGATTTGTATGTTGTTTCAAATAATATGATCAGCATAGTTTTTTATGTTTGTAAAGTGTGTTGTTAAAAAAATTCCAGCCAATATTTGTATCTAATCTGTGTTCGTTCATTTGTTTTTCAATATAAAACCAAAAATAAGAAAACAAAAAAACAACAGTTTTCTTCAGAATTTGTCAAAATGGATAACAATTAGTTTTTTCAGTTTTCAATTTTGTGTTTAAATGAAGAATGGAAAAAACAGATAACGATCATTTCCCCTTTACGTGACTTCTGTGACTGTGATGCCAGACTTTTGCACTGCATACGGACTAATCCAGGACTGATACAGGTCCGGGATCAGACCGGAACCAGACCAGGACCAGACCAGGACCAGACCAGGACCAGAGCAGGACCAGAGCGGACTCCGAGCTTTGAGTCCGAGCCTCTGCAGGGTCTCAGCTTCGAGCTCTGGCCCTGCCTTGAGCTCTGAGCCTCCGGTCTGGTCCCGGCCTGGTCTCGGTCTCAGTCCCGCTCTGGTCCCAGTCTGGTCCCAGTCTGGTCTTGGTCTCAGTCTCGCTCTGGTCCCAGTCTGGTCCCGGTCTGGTCCCTGTGTGGTCCCGGTCTGGTCCGGGTCTGGTCCCAGTCTGGTCCCGGTCTGGTCTCAGTCTCAGTCCCGCTCTGGTCCCAGTCTGGTCCCGGTCTGGTCTTGGTCTCAGTCCCGCTCTGGTCCCAGTCTGGTCCCGGTCTGGTCTCAGTCTCAGTCCCACTCTGGTCCCAGTCTGGTCCCGGTCTCAGTCCCGCGCTGGTACCGGTCTCAGTCCCGCTCTGGTCCTGGTCTCAGTCTTGGTCTGGTCTCGGTCTTAGTCCCGTTCTGGTCCCGGACCTGGATCAGTCCTGTTTCAGTCCATATGCAGTGCAAAAAGTCCGGCATCACAGTCACAGAAGTCACGTAAACCGGAAACGGTCGTTATCCGTTGCAATTTTGTCAGAACATCTAATCATTTTTAACACCAAACTACTGACTAACTGAAATAAAAATTTGAAATGATTTTAGTTTAAACATAACAAAAGTTACAATTGTATTTAAAAAGCAAACTATTACACAATCAATCAGACATTTATTATAGTGCAACAAAACAAAACAAAACAGAGACATAAAAAGTACGAGAAACCATTCGCAATCAAGTAGTATTTTTGCCACTTAAATCTGATCAAAATGAATAAATAAACTAATAAACGCAACTAAATATAAGTTGTGGGTACCAGGTGGTCACGATATTATGGTAAAACAGTCCAAATCTGCCAGATGAAGTCTACTCTGATCTATTATATTAGTGTATCACCTCTGGCCTGTAGCAGTGACACAGCAGGGGTCTCATCACACGCTACAGTGAGAATAGAAAAGCCCATATGTGACCTACAGCACGGTGAATGAGAGTCAGTGGACAGCTCTGGACAAAGACATCAGCGGATAGCGTGAGGGAACAGCTGGACACGGGACAATGGAGGATATAATATTATGTTAAGCTCGCAGTTCACGTTAAGGCCGCTGAATTCAATTACACATCCATCAGGCTTCACGTTAGGACCGCTGACGGGACAGAGTAACGTATGGTGTCTTTTCATCCTGGCGTCAGTTAGTTAGTGGGTTATAGCGGGTTGCGAGTGAATGCGATCTGTCTTTTCAGTGTGTTAAAGAAGACGTATTGCGCTCGGGCCTGCTGTAGAGTTCTAATCGACGACGCCCGCGGATCGTTATGTCATAATCCGGACGTTTTAAATCGCGATGTTCATCTAAAACGACTTAATAAAAGAAACATTGCTGAAAACGGCGGTGCGCAATGGGAGATGACGTCGCCGTAAATGTCATCACAACAAAGAGCTGTGAAGATTTGTACCAAAATGACTATGCGACGCTGCCTAAATACATGTATAACTGCTTAAGAAAATAAAATTGAAGGACGAAGTGAGTACAGAGGAGTAGGCGTACACTGGTGGCGATTAAAACGACGTTCAAGGGGAGAACTGCGTCTTGAAAATAAGCAATAAAGGTTGCTCAAACAAGCTTGAATGACTCCAAAAACCACTCCGAGAGGGTAATTGAGAAAAGGAAACAACTATAGCATGGGTAAAAGCGCTGGAAAGTCGATTTTGCTGAATAGGTCTGCTTTAAAAATCTAAAAACTTGCACTTGACTTGCCGATTGCTCCAGCCACGTTTCCCCAGGAGCATTAAAGAATGGGTTGAATATTTAGGACAAATTTACATAACGGACAATAAAACGTACCTTAAATATATCCCAATGATTCTCTGAAAGTTAAAGTAAATCTGAAATTCATTTGGCAATCCACTTTTCAAGGTCAAATAATTATAGAATCGTATTTTATGAATGATTCTTAGAAGTAAAGAATTGTTATTCACCAGTAATGACATTAACAATTGTGTTTTAATGAGCATTGTGAAATTATTAACGTTGCATGATTAAATATTTATTTCTTTTTTGCTTTTTTCATTAAAATAGACTGGAATGAACTGAATTTAGACTTGAATAAAAATGCAGAGTGGACTGAATGAGTTTGGGAGAACAATGCAAGGGTATTCTAATTGAAATGGTGTGATTTTGAGAGTGGGCTAAAAGATGCACTGTGTAACTTTTTGTTTGGGGGTCCGTCACCTGCTTGTTTCTATGGATATACAGTATCATTGCTCTATGAAATGTTCCACGGTGTGACATTAAACAGCTCTACCTTACATTTATTAAACTAGAGTTGGTTTTACGCCTCAAAAATACCTAAAAAAAACTAAGACTCAGCATTGTTGACAGCATTGTTGCCTCTCCATAGATCTGACCTGTAACTTGGCCTGGTTTGGTCTCCATGAAGATAGAAAAGTTGAATGCCATACTGTGAAACATTACAGACAAAGCAATGACACCTCGACTGAGAAAAGCATTTTGACGAACCCTCCACCAGAAAAGTTACACAATGCACCTTTAATTATTTTCTAATATCATGCAATATATTAGCCTGATTCATCACTTTGTGGAAACTGTCTGATCTCACAGCATTCATTTGCTCGACGGTAGGCGGGTACTTTTTTATTTAACCAATCGCTACTTGGTTGTGATGTATGTAATGCGCCAAATCCCGTAGGAAGAAGGGCAATAACGTCTCTCCCCTTGATAAAATTCACCAAACATTTTCTTTGTTCCAGCTTTTAAAGCCTCGATCTCGGGAATTGTTGCCAGCACAGAATGTTTGGCTTCGTCTACATCCATCTCGACCGCTTTGTTTACTGTTGTGCTGTACCACAAAAGGGACCCAGACAGACGCTTGAGTTTGACGTCATGGCTTCAGGGCTCTTCGCTGATCGATCGGTGCGTGGTCTACGACTTCTGGGGTTCTTGTTCTTGTTCATTCCGATTCCTGATATGATTTTACTCATGACTATAGGAGAGCTGAATGCACTCTCTTGTCTTTGATGCTACAACTCTTTAGAAACTTGGATTGAAAAGAAAAGTTAGAATACTTTTTCGTGGATTATTTTGTAGACTATTTTCTATATCCATACCTTGAGAATGATGGGAGACCCTGGCTTCTGCTCCAAGACTCCGGTGGTGCTGAGAGGTTCAAAGTACGGGTTGGGGTAGTACAGCAGGTTGGTGTTGTTGTACACTAGGAGAGCCTGCACGTTGTTGAAGATGAACCCAAACTCGTCCGCGTGTTTCACGGAGTCCAGCCCGGGGAGGTACTCGGGCAGCAGGGAGGGGGCAAAGCAGCTCATACTCGTGGTGTTGAGAACTTTACAGACCTGCAAAAACATAAACAAGATCATAACAGGTCATAAGGGCCACAAAAAATGCTATTTGGTATTTATTTATCTTTTCAAATCACAGTGTACATTCAAGTAAGCCCTTTAACATTAACATTTGAGAAAAAATAGAAATATGAAACGTTAAAGGACCCATGTTATGCTATTTTTTGACATGTTATAATGTTGTTTCCTCATCACCAACATACCTGGAGTTGTGTTTTGTTTCATTCACACATGTTTAACACACATATTAAGGTTGAGTTCTTCTCTCAAACTGAAAGTAGTTCAACCTTGTGAAGTCATGTGGTAATACAGGGAGTGCTCCACTGTGTTTATAAACTCCACACACCTTCACTGGAATCATTTGGATGATTTCGGCCCTGGTATGGTCGATGTCTTCTGAACAAAAGGTAAAAGGTAGCTGTTAACTTGAAAACTACAGCTTCATGACATCACAAAGTGGAACAGAGCATTTTGAGCTTGGGAAATGTAGATGTAATAATAAAAGGCTACTCAAACTTGTGTGTACAAAACAAAACACAACTCCAGGAATGTTGGAGGAGGTAACAGCATTCTAACATCGTAAATTTTGCATAATATAGGACAAAATCTGGATATTTTGTTGCTTGCAAAGGACATCTATTACCTAAATATTTAAAGATTTAACATTACTTTTGGTTATTGTTGTTGCTGTAAGCCAATCACACCTCGCCGCAAAACCATAAACCACCTCAGCCTCTCCATCTCCTCCTAAGGTTATGTTTTAGTTTACACATCACTGATAATAATTTAATAATCATTTCTGAATATATTATATATATATTAGACTCAATCAACAGTCTATAACATTTCATAATAGTTGGCTCACTGTCATACTTCTCTTCTGACAGAAACCATAATGACTATTTGATGAGGTCAGTGTGTCTCCGTCAGCCAATCACAGAAGAGCTATGGTTAATGCGCTCTGATGCAGATGGAGTAGTATCTTAATGCAATGAGATCTATAAGGACATGATGACCTCAGACACGGTGTACCCATTACATTAGCATTCATTAGCAATAGCATTAGCACTCAGGAAAATACCAGTAATAGCAGAATCTCATGTGGTAAAGTGCGGGCTTGGTTTTTGTGGTGATTTCTAGGGACTCTACCGCTAATAGAGTTGTAATTGGTCTATAAGTGTTCTGTCATCTCACTGCAATATGAAAGTGTAATAACTCCATTAGTACTATGGTATCAGATTTTCACTAAATATTTTACAAGATATGTTTATAAGCAGCATATTATAGGTTTGACAAAATGGTAAATGGTCACATTTTTATACAGCGCTTTTCCACCTTCAAGGCACTCAAAACACTTTACAACAAGGAACCACTCACCCACACACACTAGGGGCAAGGTAAGTAAGTAAGTTTTTATTTATATGGCGCTTTTCACAGACATATGTTACAAAGACGCTTTACAGATCATTATTCATTCACTCCAGTCAGACTGACAGAAGATGGCTGCCATTCTGTGCCATCGGCCCCTCCGACCACCACCGCCACTTTCATACTAGGCAATGAGGATGAAGTGCCTTGTCTAAGGACACAATGACACAATTGTGACTGCTGCCCCATTGATTTTCCCAAAGGTCTCCCATCCAAGTACTAACCAGGCCCAGGTCTTGCTTCTGAGATTTGACAGGATCAGGTTATGACACAGGTGGGTTAAGTGTCTTGCCACAACGACAAGGACACAACGACAGCATTCATCTATGGGAGCTGGAATCGCACCACCAACCTGTGGGCCAGAGGATCTGACCGCTCAACCAATGATGCTCATGTCAAGAGCAGGATTCAAACTGCCAACCTTCAGATCAGTGGTTGATGAACATGTATTTATTTCATTAGCTGAGATGACAGTATTTCAGTTGTTAGAGCGTCCACTGATCCAAAGGTTGGCGGTTCAAATCCGCTCTTGACATAAACATCATTGGTAAAGAGGTCAGATCCACTGGCCCACAGGTTGGCAGCTCCCACAAATGAATGCTGTTGTTATGTCTTTGGGTAAAAAACTTAACTCACCTCGCGAAACACTCACAATGTACACTTGAAAAACGTGTGTGAATTGTTGAGTGGTTTCTTGTAAAGCATGGATGAGTGGCAAAACATCTTCCAAAATGTTTGTCCAGTAAACAGAAATGAACTTTCTTTTGCCACCACGTAGCTGAAATTAATGCAATTAACTATGTAATTAAAATGCAATACATACAATTCTTTAATGCATCAAACACTAATAATATAGACTGTAAGTTATGCAGAAAAATCCATCTACTATGCTGGTTGTTCCAGTTTGTTGCTGTTACTTGTGCAGGATCTGTGGCCCTGTCTTGCAAATATAATTCAATACGGTATTTCAGCTCCATATACAAATAATGTTCCAATAGACCATGCAACAAATCCAGCCTAGAAAAATTTCATCTTGGAATATTTCACAGTTAACCTTTCTAAAAACCTTTACTTTCTTCCCTCTGGCTCTCAAGTAAAAATAAGAGTTATCAAAATGCACTACCACTCGCCTGTAATCGCCCACTAGTGCCATGTTAACACAACCACAGCAGTCTCCATTCAAACCTGTGGGAACTTAAGCCCACCAATAATCACCTCATAATAAACTTATCCACAGAAAAAGCCGTTAAATCCATTTTATTGGCCGGATTGCCTCCCCAAAGCTTGTAAGAAATAGCGATTCTTCTTTTGAGGACAACAACTACAAAGTATAGAGACATTGCAGAGTCCTGGAGGTAGAAACAGAATAGTGTGTTTTATGATTTCAGTTTGTCCGGCTCCTCTCTCAGGTCTGGAGGGGAAGTAGGCGGAGAATTGATTGCTGCACAGCGCTTGGCCAAAAAAGTCTGAAAATGGTTCTCTCTACCGCTGTGTCTCCAGAGCCAAACTTTAGACGAGTCAAACTTCACATTTACTTGTAACATGTAAAATGCATGATGCCATTTCTCAAGTACTACTGCGAGATGGTGATGTAAGCTACTAATACTACTATTGCTGCTGCCACTACTACTGCTACTACTACTAATACTAGTGCTGCTACTACTGCGACTGCTACTAATATATCAGACACAAGTGCAACAGAAGCACTAGAAATCTATTCCTGTTGCTACTATTGCTGTAACTTTTTAACAAGACAGCTCAGTTCTCCTGCTATTTCCATTTTTACATGTATAATTATTATTAATAGTAGCACAATTGTCACTGCTCCACCTGCTAATGATACAACTCATCAGAAGACACGTACTCGTGTTTACTCTTCACCTCTTATGAGTCTGAGTCTATCGGAGTAAAACACACACATTCAGACATACACATACACATGTTGATGCTGAAGCTTTACTGCCAACCTTTGGGTTTTCGGGCCAAAGATTTGCCAATGAACCACTGCCAACTCCAGATTAGTCACAGCAATAACCCTACACAGCACGATTAGTGTAATTGAACGTAATTAGCAAAATCTGGATAATATGTAGAAGCATGTAAAATGTCCATATAGATGCACGAGCAAAAGCAGTACTAAAACACTAAACAACCAGGGGCCTGCTGGGGCACAATAATTTCAGAATACTTTGGAATGAACCCTAGGTTTAGCCAGAGATGGGTGGAGTAGCCAAAAATTGTACTCAAGTAAAAGTAACATTACTTCAAAATAATCTTATACTCTGAAATAAAAGAACATAGTAGTGGTCCATTAACTTATTAAGTAAGAGCAAAAAAGTATTTGGGAAAACTACTTCTCAAGTAAGAGTAACTTAAAGAGTAATTGCCTGGATGGAGCATCTTATTTATAATTTGAAGTTAATATAATTGGAAAGACAAAATATTAAATAATGTGCAAAATCTGGTATTTTGAAAGGATGGATTTTTATTTTTATTTTTTTACAAAATCATATCTGAAGGAATGGTGCAAATCATTTCATACTCTCAACATAAAACTTCTGGAACATTTAGATTAACCAAACCTTTTACCCAAGTTACTGCTACTTCAATAAAAATATCACCCAAGTATGAGTAAATATATGCTGCTAGAAAGGTACACTGAAAAGTAAATTTTTTACTCAAGTAAATGTAACTGAGCAAATGTAACTGAATACATTAAGTGAGTACCTCCCCCCTTCTGGGTTTAGTATTTTAAAACCTCCATTGGTTTAACATAAGGCTGAAATTCTAGAGATATGGCAACATAATCCTGAGTTTTATTCGTGGGTTTCAGCATCCTCTTCTATGCAACATTTTAGGACTTTTCCCTATTCAAAAGATATAATATTTTGTTATAAAATTGTTAATCACTATGACGGCAGTCCTGATTTCTTATCCATAGCTACCCATTGTACTTTGTGGTCTTATGACATCCACTGCACCAGTAGAAAGCCACAAACCGAGCCCATTGAATCCCAAAATAAACTCCGGATGTGAGAAAAGCTGATGAGACATTGTGTTACTTTTTGGGCTAATCTATTCTTGCAGCAAATTCACTGTATCACGCCCGCAGACATGCACAGATCCGGCTCCTCTGCCTCTCCTGGTTCCATGGCATTTCAAAATTCTTTTCGCATTTCACAGTGACGAGAGTGAGACGATAAGGCCTTTTTAAAAATAGATTTGAGCAACCACACAGGGGGCTGGGACTATTTAAAGTGCAGTTTCATGATAAAATGTTCCATAGTAGCACGCTCATAAAGGATCATTTTGAGATATGAAAACGTGTTGTACAATGTCTAAACATTATTTGCACGTAAGTTGGAAGATAATGCCCACTAGTCACAAAGGAAGCCTGATGTTAATCTATTTTCAGGACTTAACTAAAACTTATTACAACAAATGAATAGCAATTTATCTTGGTGTTTACAGCTTATTATCCTGGCTCAAAGCAATCATTATTTTTCAAATTAGTTTTTAGAACATATTTCATCTCCCAGCCTCAGTACATAAAAACCACCCCCAAC